ACAATACATCCCATTCAAGAAACACAGTATGTTCAGAACCAAACAAGTCATACACAACAAAAACATTATTAGCTCACAATGCACTCATATAAAGAACAGAGATATACATCTACCCTATTAATTTAGAACCCTTTAAGGGTAGTCTTGGTCTTCACTCATCTTCATATACTCACTGTTTAGTACCATATTGGACACATAGCAGTCATTTATGGATTGAATAGACTAACTATAATCTCTTTAACTTTTATATCATGCTGATTCTCTTTTCAATATATAGCATGGATTATTTTCGTTACTCTAAGTTCACACCAACCTACATTTTCTTGCTACCATCATTTTATTTAATATTTCTAGTATATCTGGGTTTAGAACTCTGGGTAGAAAATGAAATATTTTGTCTTGAGAGATTTTTTTCCTCTTTACAAAATGTGCTATTCTCATTTTTACATACTTCCATAATCATAAATAAAAATGCTAAAATACCATCTAATAAAGTTAAAAGTCCTGATCCCATAAACTTATTGCAGGCCACTATGTGAAGCAATTACAACTCCAGTACACTCAGATTACACAAGTGAATCAGTTTTAAAGGTATCTGCACAGCAAGAAACAGATTTCCCAAATGATCTGTGTGATAAGTACCCTGTTAAACCAAGAGATGGAAATCTCACTTATAAAAAGTAGAATTTTGATACCCTAAAACAGTCTGTATCTCCACTCTGCTGCCAAGAGCAGGTTCTGTGATTTGAGATAACCTGGGAGCCCAAGTCTGGCAAGATACACAACTCTGAGGATTTCTTGAATTGGCCAGCCATCCTTACTATTCTGGCATGAATTTCTGATTTGGCACAGGTAACTCTTATTCAACTAAACTAGTTGTTCTACCACTTGAGCCACACCCCAGTCCCTTTGCTTTCTTTAATTTTTTCAGAGAGGGTCTGAAACTAACTTTGTCCAGGAATGGACTTAAACCTTAATCCTATTGTCTCTCTGTCTTATGTGTAGCTGGAATAGGCTTCAAAGATGTGTTTGAGGAACACAACTTATAAGGGTAATGGAGAGGATGGTGTGAAAATAGGTATCAGAACTTTGAAGTCAGAGAGACCTAAATTCAATCAACACCCTTAAAACTTACTCTTCTCATGATCTGGTGTAAATCATCCCCCAATGGGAGTGGTACCCCTCGTCCTACCCAACTGGGTGGAGGTGTTCTGAATTATCCCAATAGCCAAAGGGCGCTACTGGCAATTAGTGGGTGGGGTCATGGGTGCCAAATGTCCTGCAAAGGACAAGAGAGTCCAGTTTGAAGACCTGTTACACCCAAAATACAGATAGCATCTACCACTAAGCACTCTCCCACCCTCTGTTTCCTCAATTGTCGGAGGGTGATAAGCTTTAAATCGTTTCAGGCTGAGTGAATGTTTCAAAGAAATGCAGCAAGGAAAAGTACCCAGCCCCAGGTAAGCACACAGTCAGTCCTGGTAGATGCTGTTCTCACCTTGTTATCATCCTTCTTTAAAAAAAAAAAAAATAATATATATATATATATATATATATATATGGACTGCATCACAAATTTGCATGTCATCCTTGCACAGGGGCCATGCTAATCTTTTCTATATCATTCCAATTGTAGTATATGTGTTGCTGAAGCGAGCATGTTATCACCCTTCTGAGTTACAAACTGTATAGAGCTGAATTTAAACAGGTCCATCATTCATGATAAAGCAAAGAAGCAAACTTGAGAAATCTCAAAGCAGATAAAAGAAGGCAGTTATACCTATGGGTTTCATGTTTCAACATTATCTGTTTAACATGATTTTGCAAAAATTCTCTGACCTCTAAATTAAACCCAAACAATCTGTCTAGAAAACCTTATGATTCAGCTCCAATCTAACTTTCTGGGTGTCTCTTTCCACTATGTCCCACTAATATGTATAACCCCTAACAGATCATACATCCCTGAAGGCCTTTGCTCATCCTGCAGTACCTTTTCCCTATTTCTCTCTATCATCCTGGCTAAGTTCTCTACCTATAAAAACATCATCTCCTTATAGGCTATTTATAATCACTTCTACAATGAGGCCCCAATGGTCTCCTCTGTCACTTCTGATGAGTTCAGTATTATGTGATGATGACCTCGGCTTAACAATGCAGAAATGATTTTCAAAATGGGGATCCACAGAACTCTGTTAGTTCTCAAGTTTCTCATGAAAACCTCAACTACAGTTTTCACTTCTATACAATCTAAATTAATAGAAGCATTTACTGGATCTGGTCAAATTATTTGAATACCCACACTTCAGTTTGAATACACAACAAAGATGATGCTTATTATCCTTCTTTAATTGCTTAAGATATCAGCAAACTCAATATATAAATGATGTGTTCACAACAACTGAAGCTCCAATAACTCATAGCACACAATAAAAACAAAGTTTTTCCTATGGTTCAAATAGGGAACTACTGGAAGACTTACACAGGGTGTGGTGCAGTCCCAGCAACCTCCCACAGATCCTATATTTATCCCAATTTGTACCATATATCTTTAGATAGCCAAAAAATAGCTTCCAGGATGTTTGTAAATTTGACTTTTACTGATCTTGTGGTAATATATGCCCTTAATTTTTAATTCCGTTCTTAAGAAACTTATGTTCTATTAGGTATTTGCACATGTGTAAGCTACATAATAAAACACAGGGAGGGCAGTAATGGAGACTACACAACCTAAACTTGGGAAAATGCATTTCATTATAAAAATACAGAACAACCAGAATGGAGACATTACCCTTAATGTGTGCTTAAGGGTCTCAGTGTTGCAGGCAATAACACAGGATTTGACATATGTCCACTTAAATTGAAAAGGAGCTTTGTGATTTTGGGCAACTCTCTTTAATGCTGTTTTTGTTGTTTTGTTTTGTTTTACAGTAAACTGAAGATTCTGATTATTCGAGTTTGTCAAAGGTCATGTTCAAAAATATTAAAGTACTTTATAACTCTAATGCTAGACATGATTATTAGCAATACTGTTTTCAAGTGGTCTTTACAACACTCAGCTCCCTAAGAGAAGATCCCTTTTCTCAGTCATCTTTGCACCCCTACCTACCACACCAAGTAACATCCTGTCTATTGAACTGATTCCTTTATCCTAAAACCAACACTACAAAAGAATAGCCTTGCTCTCATTAACACTTAAAGTTCTCACTGCCACAAAAAGAAATAGTCCAAATACCTTTTCATTTTGAAATACAATCTGAGCAACAGATCGCAATTCTGTTTCAGATCTTGTTAACACCGGGGTTTGTGTTACTGGGACACTGAGTACTACTAAGCATTTCCATTTGTTTCATTACACTCTCAATAAAGGCTTTGTGTTCTTTGTTTATATCATTGAAAAGAAAGATTTAAGCTCATTTAAAACAGTAAAACACCCACATAAGGGATTATCTACTATGCCCTTAATATCTGGCAAATTCTAAAAAAGATGAGGACAAAATTAGTGTTCATATAAGCATAAATAAAATTTACATTATCAAAAAGCCACAGTCCATGCCTGGTGATGAAGAGAATAGAGAAGTACCAGGTAGATAAGGAACTAGTTGCTAGTAGTCAGCTGTAGGCAGAAAAGAGCCTGGAATGGAGAAGTGCCTTAAAAAGGCAAATAGGCCAGAGAGGCAGGAAGGATTTCAGGACAAAGCAGATATGAACCTGAAATTGGTCTGCTTAACTCCTTTCCAACACTGACTCAAATTTCCAAGTTCTGCTGCCTCTGCTTGAGACTTGGTTTAAAAGAATGTTTTTCTATTACTCAAGATTGTTAGTGTTGTTACAGTGATGGCAGGCACTCCAGGCCCTGAGCCTATCTGACATCCTGGTTGAGACCTGTCAGACTTCAAAACTATTTTTAACTATACTGTGTAACTCTGAAGTTCAAACCCTCAACAGTAAGGGCAGCAATAGCTGAAACTTCCAAGAAGAATAACCAACTATACTTGAAATTTTCTTGGAAAGATGAATTTTGGTAACAGATGGCCATAATGGAAATGTTTCACAAGTAAAAACTGAGGAATACATAAAACTAAAATCACCTCACAAACCCTGAATGCTAATGAAACTAGCTCAGTCAGAGTAGTTTTCTACCCATTTTTCTTTGAAGCCTACCACGAAGTCTTTAGAATCTGCGGTAAATGTAAGTCTCTAGAGTGTGTTATTCCAAGGACATAAATTACTTGCTCTTCTAGTGCAACTGAGGAGGGTGGGGTAACTCTCTTCTATAAAGACTGGAACGGCGAATTCTATTGCATCTATCTCCTCTTCCTCCTTCAGGATGGATGAAAAGACTCAAGAACAGGCATTTTAACGAGACATGTCTTTTAAAAGTTGGTTCTAGAGCAGGTGGAGAAGAGAGAACGGATTACAGAAAAGGGGCACGTTCTAATTACTGAAACCGAGATAAACACAGTTCTGGTCCCTGAAATCTATTTGGGAGCTTCAGGCAGCTACTTTAGAAGGGAGATGGGAAAAGAAGAGCAGCATCATTTAAGTGTACACACACTATGGTAAACAAAAGTAGAGGATTTTATGTTTTGATGAAGTCTTGGGGACTTTTTATAACAACTCTTAAAATTCATTCTGAGAACATTTAAACAAGATGACAAAACCCCAGCTGAGAGGGTGCCACCGGCCTCACAGCTTGCCTTTTCTACCTTTGCCAAGCTACTCCCTCCTGGCCGGGTGGTTTTGGGATCGCGCCCTAGAGTTTCCCATTGCTTCCGGCAGGACGCCCGGAGTCGCTTGGCCCCAGAACTTTGGGTGCAGACGCGGTGAGACGGAAGCCGACCCACAGAGGGGAGGCCGGCCGGGTGTGCTGGGGGGCGCCCAGGAAGGCGATCGCTGGCACCGGGAACTGGGGAGCAGGAAGAAACTTTAGCAACGGAGGAAGAACAGAAAGTGGCAAGGCGAGCGAACCGCAGCCTAGCCGGATCCAGCCGGGCACCCACCTGGCAGCGCCTCGGCCCGGAGCAGGCGGCGGGCCCGGCTTCTCCTCCTCTTCCTCTTCCTTGTCCCGGGAAGGGCTTCGGGGAGCGAAGAACCGAGAGAAGCTGTGCCAGGGGGCGCTGCCCCTCCTCCGACCGCCGGACATCTCCCCAGAGCGTGCGCTGGCCCGCGGCCGTCCACGGGGAATGGACTAGGGGCTGCCCGGAGCCCAGCCCGGCAGGCGCCTCGGGACCGGACGAAGGCAGGACTGACTCCGCGCGAGCCGCCAGTGCGGCTCAGTACCTCCCGGGCGGGAGAGGAGCGGACGCCACTCGCTCCCCGCGCCGGTGCTCTGCTCGCCGCGACGACCGCCCCGCCCACTGCCCCGCCCCCTCTGGGCCGATGCCCCGCCCCTGGGCGGAGCCAGGCCCTCGGGTCGCCCCGCACCGCCAGTGGAGCAGCTGCTGCAGTAGCCACAAGAGGTTCCAGAGAGGCAGCTGGTGTCAGAGACACTCGAAGGGACAGGCAACCTGTGACTCTGAGCGCCGGTTTCCTGCCCAAACAATTTCAGGCGGCAGCCGTTCGTCTTTGCTTTCAGTTGCTGTTACCGACCTGTTTTCTAGCCTGCAGACCATACGCAGTTTTCAGACTTTTGGAAGAGATCTGTGTGCGAAGGTATCCAGATGTGCAAGCGTTGTGCTCATCCCAACCCCGAGTCTCAAACCTTCGACAACTGTTTCTGTGGCATGATTTCTCCTAATCCAGATGTACTTTAAAGTTCCTACACTTTACCTCCTACCCTGGCAAATCTTTTTCAAAAACGGCACGGATTAAAAAACTATGACTCGAACTTGCAAACGCTGGAACAAATACGTTGTAGTCATTACACAGACGATGCCGGAATCTGGAAACCTAAAGGCCCTTAAGACTTTCTTTAAATATCTTACTACAGTAGTATGACTTTAAAAAAAACAAAACTTTTTTGTAGTCTAGCAGCTAATACAAAAAAATAAAGGCAGATTCAACTGAAGTGTATTGTACTATTTTGTTTGAAGCCAACCTGTCACTGGTATTAGAGGAAGCAATGTGACATTTGTTTACTAAAAATTTTATTTAAGTAAATGAGAAAAAAATGAAATGTCCACAGCATTTTTGACGGGGGGGGGGAACTTTGGAACACACACATCCCCCAGGCCTCCCCCGCTCTCACACCGGGTCTTTGGGGTGCTAGAGGAGGAAAATGTGAGAAGTGAGAATGTCCCACTTCCCTAATTCCCAGGTCATTTTAGCACCAGTTGGTGGCCAGGGAGCCTTCCAGTAGCCTTTCCAGCTCCTGCTAACTGCAGCAGAGCCCAAGGCACTCTGCAATTTGTTTTGGCAGAATTTAACCCACCAAAGTTCAATCAGCCCAGTCTCCTTCAACTGGGTTCAGAAAATAGGAATCTGAGACAATAGGAAAAGGTTAGGATAATACTCTAGCAGAAGACAAATCTCCGAATCCTAACACTATTTTAGGAGAGAATCTCCAGTAAGGGCCTGCTTGCCAGAAGGCCCAAAGAAAATTTAAAAGCAAAAATGCTGAAGTAAACTGTTCCCTACAGCGAGAAGGCCTGGAGAATAATTTATCTCCCCTAAACAATGTGAAATGACTACCAGATGTGCCCCCTACTTGTCCTGTGGCCACAGCTGGCCCTCCATAATGGTGTCTACTCATAGGATACATTGTTTAGGAAGTCTTCCTGGGGATAAAAGTGGTTGGAAGTTAGTATGATTACTAAGCAATTACAATTTTTAACTAAAAATATTTCTTTTTTTAGCTCTCAAGAAAAATACTGAGAGTCTACATGTTTAGCCCCTCTCCTTGGTAAGGCATCAGAATCACAATATATAAAATCCTTCATATTAAATTTTTCTACAGTGTAACAGAAATAATGCTAACATTAAATTTTTCTACAGTGTAACAGAAATAATGCTAACATTAATCCAGGTAGAATGCCTTCTACCTGGATTAATGGACAGCTTATAAAAATATAAGATAAATGTGATGAGGCCCCTACAGGTGAACAGATGATGCAAAACAGACCTATGGTATATTTTTTTCTCAAGAGCAACTACTTCATGAAGGAAACAACCAATACCGAACAACACACCTGATCTACACTTTGTGATAGAACAAAATGCTGGAGTAAATCTTATGTACAAATAATGTCATGCCTACATTAAGGCAAACTTTGTGAAAAAAATTAACTTAAATCCATAAAGTAATGAATGACCCTTGAGCTTTCATTTTTTACTTTCCCAATAATTATGTTTTCTAGATAGCCTATATTCTTGTATTATGAACTTATAATACAATTTGTTGTATTACAACAAATATATTGTATGAATTTGTTCATACAATATTATGAACAAATTTCTGAATTCTGAATTCTAAAATTGCATTATGAAATCAATAAAAATGTCCATTTTTAGACTTGCAGGAATCTTAGAGATACTAATTTAGAACAGTTTGTATCAATGCAGTTATTCCCCAGACAATGAGTGCCCATAGCTGAAGCATTCAAGTTACAGGGTTCATCAATGGCACAATCTCTTCCAACATGAACTCAGCAATGTGATCACATGGTCATGTGTTCTCTTATGATTTATAAAAGTAAACATTCTAACTTGATTAAGATGGCAATCTCTTTCCCATTGGATTTTTTTCCTCCATCATACTTCTAAAGTTACTTGTTTCTAGAAATATTGGGGGTATTTTGAGATCTTCTGGAAAAGTTACTGCTTAAGTTCTAACTTGTTCATTGTTCAACTCACTAAACATTTTGCCACAGGTTCTGTTAAGGCAAGAATATATCCTATGGCCACTGATACTGAAATATGTGGTAGTAAAGGTGAAATCAGATTTGAAATGAATAGCCCAAAAGTAACATGTAGAAAGTTGATTGAATTATATTTCCATTATTTGTATAAAAAGTTATATTAGAAAATCTTTGTTATATAAAAGATTATCAAAAATATCAAAAAGATCTAGGCACAGATAGCTCACACCTGGGGTCCTAGCTATTTGAGAAGCTGAGATCGGTAAGATCACAGTTTGAGGCCAACCCAGGCAAACAGTTCATGAGAACCCATCTCCAAAATAATCAGAGGAAAATGAACTGATGTGGCTCAAGCAGTAGAGCACCTGCTTTGCAAGCACATTGTCCTGAGTTCAAACCCCAGTCCAATAAATAAATAAATAAATAAATAAGTGGTATGCCAGGTTGTTCTTTTTTACAGATTTTGTTAAATATATAGGATATAGTCAATCTTTTAAAATTGGTAATTTGCATGATTTATTTTTTCATTCTGTGACATTTTACATCATTTTACATCTAATTTTTATTTTTAATTTTAAATTATTTCTCTTTGAAGAGAATCCTGAAACTGTAAAAAAAACTTCAGAGCCCACAAAACCTGAATATCTCTTTGAGAGATATGTGTCAGATACATGCTAATTCTTAGGAGTACAAAGATAGGGTGATAGAAAATACCAAGTGCTTTCCCTCAAGTAGAAATTTGATGGGGAAACAGATGAACAAAGACGGTTAAACAGGAAATTTTCTTATGGCCCATACAGGATGGATCTCCAGCTTAAGCTAGAAGGTTCCTGGAAGGCTCACTAGAGGAAATAACTGTCATTATTCTCTCTTCTTCATTGCCTTAAGCGATGACATCATTCTCACAAAAAGAATACAATAGTTTATGTGATACATGAGAAAACCTGAAGTTTGTCACATGTAACTAAATTGCTATTCCCGAAGGGTAAGTACTGTACTTTTCGAAATTATGAGACTAGGCAGAAGTGCTGACCCTTGAAGCATTTAAAGTACAACGCAAAAGTAGTTTAGAAATGCTAAGCTTTTTCTTTATGAGAACTCCACCAGAGGGATAAACTACTGACTATATCTTAGAATGCAGTATTTACAGTGTGGCAGGTGGCCCAGGAATATTAAGACAGCTGTCAACATCAAGGAAAGCACCAGCCCATGAAAAAGCAAGCAGATGGATTGGGGCACTTCACTAGCTGCCTCTTAGAATAATAGCATGCTTGGCCAAATGAGGCAATGTTATGCTGCTCAGGGCAACGAAAAGCTGTCACTGGATATGAGTGCTCAATTAGGAGGTGGGGCAGGGGATTAGCTTCCTTTCCCTTTGTTTGTATACTCACATTTTCATTAAAAACCTCCACAACAAATAACAAAAAGGGATGACGGTGTTAGCATTTGTCATATTGTTACATTCTGATTATCATGATTTGTAACAGGGAAATGCCTCTTCTTCCTGCTTCAATGACAGCAGATGGTGAAATTTTTAAGTAATTGGTTCAGACTTCTATGGGATACATGATGTTTTCCTGCATTGTTTTCTGGTTTTTATTTGCAGTACATGTGAATATTAATATCTTTCAAACACAGATCTTTCAATGCTTAAATTAAGATGTGTTAGTTTAATACAAATTACATTTATTTTTTATTCCTTTGATATGATATGACTTAAAAAAAGAAATGATTACGTTAAAAATACAATGTTAAAGTTAGTATTAAACCTTTCAAACAGTATAAAATTTCCTAATATTGAAATGTTATACTTTTAAATATATATAAAGTAGAAGGAGCATATCTTAGGCAAATGTAGATTACAAAGCCTATTCCAAAATAGTTGTTAACACCAATTTAGTTTGATGTGCAAACAGCATGAAAAATATAAAATCATATTAAGATATTAACATTTTATTAATGCAGCTTCAAAAGCATGACAAAAATAATGGCTCAGATAATACTATTAGATGAAAACTCAGATCCTATAATCTGTTTTCTCAAATAATTCATCTGAGTACCTAAGCTATGCACAATCTTATGCATTTCTGATACCCAATTTTAATACATCTATTTTCCAAAGAACAATTATTTATCAATATCTAAACTGTTGAACATTGGTGTTGGAAGTATATTTTTTATTAAATTTTTAAGAAAAAAGCTGCAGAGTGAAAAAATGATTGATTTAGGGATTGGCTTCCCTTTTTCTTATTTTTAAGTTTTATAATATATATGACACATAAGCCTGAGCTCTCTTACTAGATACTTTGTTTCTAGTTAGATTTGTTGCAAACAGTTTAAAAACAAGGCATGGAGGCAGTTGCAATTGTGAGCAAATGTTTTGATTAGGGAGAGAAAGCAGCTGGAAATGCTGCTCACTATGTACAAAATGAACTTCAGTGTTCACATAGAGACTTCACCTCATCTAAAATTGAGATTCACATTATTTTCCTTACATAAGTTTTCACTACATAAAATAGAAATCAATTCAC